ACACAAATGGCTGTGCACACCTGTGAGGGATTTTTTTCTCTTAATTAAGTCGTTTAAGTGGGAGGATCCACTTTTAATCTGGATCTTTGAGGCGAGAAGATACACCTTCAGTCCAGATCTTTTGAGGTGGAAGATCCATCCACCTTCCATCTGGGCCACCTCTTCTGCTGGCAGCCTACATAAAGGACATGGAAGAAGGAGGCTTGCTCTCTTTGCCAGCTTGCTCTCACTCTTGCTAGCAAGTCCATTCCTTCACTGAAGTTAGAGCCTACTTTGGGATTCTGGCATATACAGAAGTCCAGCTGAGACATCCAGCCTCACGGACTGAACAATTACTGGATTTTTGGACCTTTGGCTGGTGGACGGCCATTGCTGGACTAGCTGGATGAACCACAGCCTATAAGCCAGTGGTTCTCAATTTTCCTAATGCTGTGACCCTATAGTTCTTCATGTTGTGGTAACTCACAACCATAAAATTATTTCATTGCTACTTCATAACTATATTTTGATACTGTTATGAATCATAATATAAATATCTGAGATGCAGGATATCTGATATGCAACACCTATGAAAGGGTTTAGGTTGAGAAACTCAGCTGTAAGCCATTTTAATCAATCTCTCTCCCTTTCCATATATATATATATATATATATATATATATATATATATATATATATTCATTCTATAAGTTCTGTTCCTCTAGAGAACCCTAATGCCCACAGTATTCCATTATACTTTTTAGCACATTCTGATGAGTTATACCCAATCTTTCATTTACAAACAAAAGTTCAGGGACATATTGTTTACCTATTTGTGTTCTCATGGATCCCTGGGTCAAAAGATCTGTGCCTTTTGAATTTTGATGCTGTATAATTTCTTTCTACTGATGGTAGATCAAAATATTCATGCCATTTTGCTGTCTAGACACTGGGGCCAGGTTTACTCTGCCCTCCTGGTTCCGATTGTACCTATTACTGTCAACAAGTTCCTTGGTCACAAGATTGTTGCCCTGCTCTTTCTTCAAACACTGTTTGGACTGGACTATTTGTGGGTCAGGGTAGAATATTTGCCTTGCATGTGTTAGGGCCTCAGCTTGAAAAAAATAAACACCTATGAAAGACAGATTTTATGGGCATTAGAGTAATTTCTTGAGTATAGTCACTGTCACAAGCTTGGCTCCATGAATGTCATAACCAATGAAATGAATGTGTTTCATTGAGGACATGGTGGGAGTGGAGACATATATCATTACACGTTACCCCACAGGCAGAGCCTCAGGGTGGCTTGGAGCACCTCTGTTTGGGGCATCTCTGTGCAAAACTGTCATTGACACTTGGGTGGCAGTGGATTAGACTACTCTCACTGCCCTGCCTCTGTGGAGGCTTGCAGACCACCCAGTTGTTCTTGCCAGCCCTTAGGTGTGGACTCAATTCATGTTCAATGAAAAAAGCAGTTAACTTTTTTTGAATACTGAATAGGTATTTGGTTTCTCAAAAATACGACCTATTATAATGCTAATAACTAGCAATTGGTATTGGGAGCATATTGAAAAAGGCAACTATTATCAACCCCGTTGGAAGCGAATCGTTCACTGCTAAGCTAATAGCAATGGGGGCATTCTGAGGATGGAACCTGCTTAACTTCACATGAAACCTAGAACAAGGGGTTCTGATACCACTTTTAGCTGTTACCTTTGGTTTTTCCCACAGTGTTTCCTAAGGTTAAACAATACACCGAGGCATTTCCACAAGTCAGAGTGTGGCCACTGTGATGTACTCCCCAAACGGTGTCTGCACCCTGAACCCGACTTCACAATACCTCTGAGAAAGAGGCGTTGCGGTTTCATGATGAAGCTGCCACAGTCAAGGGCAAGCATGAGACACAACAGACTTCCCCCCCTAAAGTAACACTCCCAGCAACAGTTCATGCAGCATGGAAGCCTCGATCAGCTGCTGATAGTCCAGGGGGACTTGAAGCTGAAATTCTGTGCTGCTAAACCCAGTGAATCCTGACCAGGGCTTATTCTCAGGAGCTCAGTAAAAAGGGAAGACTCTATAAAACATGCACCTAACAAAGCATATCAGCAGCTTGAACGGGGCAGGCCTGTCCAGACAGGAGAACCCTAATAAATAAACGAAGCGCAACATTTATGGCCAACCATCATGTCACTAGCCCACAGAAAACTGGAGCTGCGCAGCTGGGAGAGGAGGAGTCTGCAGCCCGAGAAGGCCATGGAACGTGCCCAGGCTCAATTATTTATGGTGTGCAGATGAAGAGACAACCTTCCATATGAGGAACAGTTCAGCAGAGGAGGGTGGGCTAAACCAGGATGAGATCCAGAGAGCCAGCGAGCACCGCGAAAGGGACATGAATACAAATGACAAGCAATAAAACAGGACAAATCAGAAACACTGTAACTTTCAGAAATAATTTAGGGTCAAAAGAAAACGGGGGGAGGGAATCTGGCTTTGGGACAATTTTCTGAGAAACAAAGACATTAAGCCAAACGAAAGTGCCGAGCTGAAGACCCAATTTGCTGCAATGCCATCCTAGCTATGAGCTTGGTGCTTTATTGAAAGAAAGAAAGAAAGAAAGAAAGAAAGAAAGAAAGAAAGAAAGAAAGGAAGGAAGGAAGGAAGGAAGGAAGGAAGGAAGGAAGGAAGGAAGGAAGGAAGGAAGAAAGGAAGGAAGAAAGAAAGAAAAGAAAGAAAGAAAGAATAAAAGAAAGAAAGAAGGAAGGAAGGAAAGAAAGAGAGAAAGAAAGAAAAGGGCAAAGCAGCAATTTTGCATTTAGCTGATGCAGATGCTTTGTTGTTGTCCCCTGGTAACGGTCTGTGTGCTGTTCCCTGTATAGTAGGGCTCAGTCTGACAAAGGGGTATCTCTGTCCTCAAGAGACTAGGGGCCTTAAACCAGCTTCTGGATGGTGTGTGCATATGACAACAGCTTCACCCAGGAGAGCAGAGGGGCAGTTGTAGGAGAAAGGTGGAGATCTGGAATTCCAGCCTCCATAAATGCGCTTTTTATACAGAGATGTGGATTCCTCTGGTTCTCCGTAGTTTCTGATCTTGCAATCTATACCTAAGGGCTATCCGGGCCATTTTTAGTGACTTTTATATGCTACGATGAACCTCCTTCAAACCTGAGCCAAAGCATAATAAATACCATCCACCTGCTGCTATATACTTCAAGAACTCTCCCTAGCCACTTCTTGAGGTGAGATTGTCACTGTTAATTTAGAGAGAGGCTGGAGCCCCAGAAAGAGACTTCTCTCCAGGCCACAGGGAGTAAGTGGCAGAGTACTTTATTCCCCCCAGTATGGGCTCTGTGGAGGACCAGCTGGAAATGTGCCAAGATCCAAAAGCGGCTCTCCCAAACCTACTAGCTCAGTGACTCCCTCCCCCAACAAGGGCCCTCTTCTCCTGTCCTCTAGAAGCACTGATTTAAAGGGCCAGCAGTCTCTTGTCTTGGACAGCACCAGGACAGTTTGCACTGCTGCACAGGTCTACTTCTACAGGGTGGCATCTGAAGGAGTCCTTCTATATAGGTCCTTCATGTTTTCATTCTTCAAAGGCAATCGGACTTGAACCCAGGAGCCTGCACTCTATCAGTGAGCTATGTCTCCAGGCCCAAGAGTTTTCTTGTAGATGCTCGGTGATTCCACTCTTCTACCAGACCCTCTATGCCACGAATCAGTGTTCTGATGGCATGTTTCTAACTTTGGTCAGTAACTTCAGCTACCACCCTGAAACACATTCTAGAAGGAAATTTGGAGCCAAGCATACCTTCTGTTCACTTCTGTTCTCTTCTCCATCCCAGCTTGCCACTTATTTCCAGTCTACTTCTTATTACACCAGGGGCTTGTGGCTGAGGGGGGTCCCACAAACAAAGTGCCATCAAACTTTGCTCTGCCTGCCAGGTACACATCCACCAGAATGGCCATTTTGCTCTTGGCAATGTTTTCTGAAACCCTGCTCTGTACTGGAGGACTGGATGGTCCATGAATCATTTCAGAGTTTGATTTCAAATTATATATATATAATATATATATATATTTATTATATATATATACACATACATATATATATATTTCAAGACAGGGTTTCTCTGTGTAGCTGGCACCTTTCCTGGAACTCACTCTATAGCCCAGGCCTCGAACTCACAAAGACCTGCCTGCCTCTGCCTCCCGCGTGCTGGGATTAAAGGCGTGCGCCACCACCGCCCGGCTGATTTCAAATGGTATTCTTGGTAGATTACAGGTTTTATACCTTTAAAATAAATGTTGCTAAGAACTAGCAAATTCATTAGTGGTACATGCAGACTATTTCATCATTAATGGAAGGAGTCGTCTAAGAGCATCAAGCACTTGTCGCTGTGGCGATCTCTCTGAAGTCGAGTTGAGGGTGATCAATGGATAGACCACAGAAAGATGCTCTGGAGAATCCAAACCAACCTTCTCTCTCAGATTTGCAAAACTGTTACCAAAAGGGTCTCCTTCCCACACTGCTGCAGCCACAAAGTACCTATAACAGCTAGACATTAAAAAAGGTGATGTAAGACCCAGTAGCTTATGCATCAACATTCTCTTCTTCCTTCCTGGTAACTCGCTCAAGCCCAGGCCTGGCAAACAAAACAGGACTGGCCGCATGCACAACAGAGCTCTCAGGGAAGGCAGCGGGTTTAGGGTGCTGAGTGCATAGACCCCACTTCCCAGAAAATAACTCGCAGACAGGATGGCCAGAAACTTCAAATGGCAACTTTTGTGATTCGAGATAATTTCCCAGGAATTTAAGAGGCTATCACTTACTCTTGACTTTCAAAGAGATTCTGGGCTTTAAAGGCACAGTTGCATCTAAAATTGATCAGCTAGCGACAACTCTCTGAAGTTCCTGGGCGGGAGAGAAAGCAGGAGGCACCGCCACATCTGGACTGCACCATATAGTTCACTTTCCAGGTTGTAAATTTTCTGCCACAAAGACTTCCCGAAAATAACTTTCTAGCATGCAAGCAGAATTTTTTTTTATTAGCTGAAGTATCCATTTTTTCTATTATTTTGAGATGGAACACTAGAATACTTGCTGGCTACTCTTCAAAGAACTGTACATTTAAGAAAACAGCAAAATTACAAAAAATGTGTCTTGAAAACACAGATTTAAATTATGGCAGAGAAAACATTAAAAAGACTGTTCTAGAGCATATTCAAATAAAGCAGAGACTAATAACATGAACATTTATCATGTACCTATATACTATAGTTGGGACTACATGCCACTGTTGTAGAATTAACTGTTGATAAATATAGCCAAACAGTATCAAAATAAGAGGACACATATACACATACACTTACACACACCCCCACACACTCAAACACACCCACACACTCTCTCACACACTCAAAAATTTGCAATCAAGAACAATCTTCTCTACATTTCAATTTCCTAATTTTAATATTTTTATTTATTATGAAATAAAGTCTATGATATTAGAGAATGCATGGAATTTTAAAGTGAGACTATATATGTTAGAAAAATTCATCCAGGGCACATATTTTTCTCTTTCTTTCTTTTCTTTTTTTTTTTTTTTTTTCGAGACAGAGTTTCTCTGTGTAGTTTTGGCACCTGTCCTGGATCTGGATCTCGCTCTGTAGACCAGGCTGGCCTCGAACTCATAGAGATCTGCCTGGTTCTACCTCCCGAGTGCTGGGATTAAAGGCGTGCACCACTACCACCCAGCCCCATATTTTATTTCTTAAGAAAATAAAACTATGCACAAAAAATTACCTCTGTGCCCTGGTGTTAGCCCTGGAGTACTGGATCCTTACCATGAAATACTAACAGAAACAGAGCATGACAGAAAGGTGGTGTGACATCTCTTCAGCTGCGTGGCCTCAGTGTCACTGCTTTACCTCACTGGGGAACTCAGGAGCTCCCTGGTTAGAGAATGCACCCAGGATGGCCCAGAGTCTGGTGGGGTCCTCACAGTTGTGCTGGTGTGCCCAGTGAAGAAGCAGGTCCTCCTTCCTCCCCAGCCTCTGGGCACAGAGCAGGCAGTTAAAGCCTGAATGGGACCAGAGAAGCCTGGTGGGGTGCTGTGGGCTGTTCCTTCCCCATGGGCCACCTTCACTTTCTGCCAGCACTTCCTCCCTCTTCTGATGAGGGGGTGGCTGCCTCTTTACTTTAGGAAATGCTGGGGAGTCCTCCACAGAGGCACAAGGCTTCGCCTGCTTCCTTCTCTCAGTGTGAGGCTTCTGGTGGGGAGCCCCAGCTCTGTCGCCTGGTGAGATCGCCTCCTGAAGTCGGCCTTGGATCTCTTCGCCATGAACATGAAGCAAATGGAACTTTATTTCAGCAAAAGACTGAGCAGTGATCTGACAACGGGCACATCTAATTTGCAACTTGACTTCATCTGCCTGGTTTAGAAGGAAATCTTCTTCCAAACTTGACTTGGTTTCCCTGGAAAGGGGGAAACAGGAGAGGTAAGACTTCCCAGGAAAATGCAGGTGGATCTCTTGCCATCAGGTCTTGGCCTCCAGGGGTATAAGGCACCCTGCTATGGAGATCTCTGCAAAGCCTGAGCAGAGGCCACAGCAAGCTGCCACTCCTAGGCCAGACATCTCTGAGGTCACCAGGGACAAGAGTCCTGCATCTCCCCCTAGTGAACCACCTCCCTGGTTACCACAGGTGTAGTCAACACTAAGATTAGGTCACATGACAGGAGCTGCCATGGCACACTGTGGCACTGCTGGAGATGACTGTCCCAATCATTATGCCACCCCACCACTTTGGCAGTTCTGACATCTTACTTCAAGACGATCTGAGTACATGAAAGCAAGCGTGAAGGGAGGCTCCATGGCACATGAGTGGAAAGCATGTTAGTGGGAGATGGAATGAACTACTGGAGATGGGGAAAGGCGAAAGACAAGGAAAAGCTAGGGCAGGCATCTTGTTGTTATCCATTATGACTGAATACAAAATACTTAGAGCAACTGGGACAATAAAAAACAAGCAGCAGAGAACATAAGGTGTTGGGCAGCGTTTCCTTCTCATCCCTCAGGCACCTCAGTTGTGGGCGTGGACTACACTACAGGCACTTCCGGGGTCATTACCGCTCAAGTGCTGGCCTTGTCAGTGCCCAGATTATGGAGCTTGTTGTTGTTGTTGTTGAATAATGTCAAGAAGCAGTGCTTACCAAACAGAAGGACACAGGGAAAACCTAGTCTGGCCTGACAGGTAACAAAGGGCACAGACATAGGGTTAGCTGGAGTACCTTGGGGTCTGGTGAAGGGGGTAGCTTCACATGGTGTTGTGGGGTAGATAAAGCTGTTTAGATAAGAATTCTGTGAACAATAATTTTGGGGAAACTACTTTATAAAGACTACTAAAAACTATATATGGTAATCCACTATTTTAATTTTTAGATGCAAAAATAATCTGTCACTCAGCTGTCTCCAGCATACCCAAACTGGCATTCATGCCTTGACTTACACAAGTTTGATAAGTAAACATTGTGACTGAGCAGACCAACAAGAAATGTGGTCATTCTTCAAAGAACTGAGGGGGTGGGACGAGGTGGCTTATTTTACCTTATGACATCTTTTGTTGTTGTTATTTTGGGCCAGGGTCTCACATAGCCCAGGCTGACCTTGAATTCCTGGTCTCACTATCTCTGTCAAGTGCTAGGATTGTAGGTGTGTACCACCACTCCTGACTACGTTTTGGAATCCTAATCTTCTCAAATCACAACAGACTTTCTTGCCAGGCTTCCCTTCTGGGAGCACTCACCTCTCCAGTGGGCCATCAGGTCCTTGCACACAGGCATCTCTGTCTTTGTTCTTTGGTATGTCTCCTGGCTGCAGGTCACTGGAGGAGGGCTCTGTGCTGATCACAACCCTGTGCACCTCCTTCAGATGGCCAAAATAGACTCGGACATGACCAAACACTTTTGCACAAAACTCACAGCACACTAGTTTCTTGGGGCGACTCTCACCATGGTGAAGTTTCATGTGTGCGCTCAGGCTGCCGGGACGGACATAGGCCTTGCGACAGATCCCACAACTGTAAGGCCGTCTGTTGGTGTGTGTATTCATGTGGTCTAGAAGGTGATGTTTGAACTGGAAGTGGTGGTTACAGACGGGACACATGTGCCAGGGCTTCTTAATGCCAGAGAATCCATTTCTGAGCATAGAGCTGGACTTAGGGGTAGGGCTGTCACTTTGCTTGGAGCCAAGACACTTTGGAGGCAGTGCGTTGTTCAGCAGAACATCCTGACCTAGGCTGCTGGGAGCCTGGGACTGCAGTGCGGCTGCAGGAGACACCAGGGGCGCCAAAGCAGACATGATGATGATAGGCTTGGGCATGATGCTGCGATACTTTCTCGAAGCAGCCTTGGGCTTCTGGTCTCTGGGTTCTTGGGGACTGTTTCTCCCCCTCTCTACGCCATCTCCACACATACCAATAATGAACTTCCTCCTTTTGCCCTGCAGTGCTAAAATCTCATCTGGCACTTTCCATTTCCTTCCTCTTCTCTTTGCTGCCCCACTGCTGGGTTTTCCTTTGTGGCTGAGGTCTAGTTTGGTGACAGGACAGAAGGTACTTTCACAAGCACTCTGCTTTGACCCGTGCAGAGCACTCATCTTGCTGGGCATCGTGGTGGCTGCATCAAACCTTTCTGTTATGGACAGTCTCTCATCACAGTTTGCCCTGTATCCAAATGAAGATACTTCGGCATCATCAGCATCTGTGGCTTTCCCTTTTGAGAAGGGCAGGATGGGCAGTTTACCCTTTGGTACTGAAGAGACCAACTGAACCACATTGCCGAAGACAGTGTGTGCAGGGGCCACCTCTTCTCTGAGCTCGTCACCAGCACCAGCAGGCTTAGTGGGCACCTCCTTCCTGGAAGCATCAGCAGGCTTAGTGGGCACCTCCTTCCTGGAAGCATCAGCAGGCTTAGTGGGCACCTCCTTCCTGGCAGAGTCTGCCTTCTGCATGATTGCTGGGAGGTTCTGTGGGGAAGAGGAATCCTCTGTAGTGCATGCTGGGATGGCAGGAAGCTTCAGGTCTCCACAGCTGTTGGTCACTAGAGGATTTGAATCTCTGTGGTCAATACTACTGGTCAGTGCAGCTGTTCTGATGGTGGGAGAAGGGTTTAAAGTGGGCATTTGCGTCAACAGGTTGGTCTGGTGAGGCAGTTCAGAACGGGCTTGTGGAGAAGGGCACATCTGGCATGTCTGGGCTGGGCCAGGAGGTTCATTCCAGCTACTCTTGGGAGAGCTCAGGTCCTGTTTCTGTCTTAACCCTTTGTTACTTAGTGGTTGATATCGAGGAATAGGCAGTTTAAGGTTTTCATGCAGGGACATTCTGGGCTTCTGAACTGGCTGAGCTGAGGCAACATTCGGCAAAGCAAAAAGAGAAAACGTCCCCTCCTGGCCAGCCACCTGCATCAGAGCATAGTTCTGGGTGGGCATGCCCAGAGGCTTGGAGGTTAGAGCCAGACTCCCTTGGTCAGAAAGTGAGGAAGGACACGGTAGCACTCTGGATGTTAAGACTTTAGGCACAAGTTTTGGTGCAATGGTCCTAAACTGACTCTTATTCTGTAAACTTTTCCCACTCTGTGCTGTTCCAGAAGGGATGTTTGATTCATCTGCAATGACAATACACAGATTACTACAGTGTAACTGTCCTGGTACTGAAACTTCAATTCATATCTGATCTGGGCTAGAGACCTGGCTCAGCAGTCAAGAGGATATACTGATCTTGCAAAGGACCTGAGTTCATTTCCCTGCACCCATGTTAGGTAGCTCACACCTGTTGTAAGTCCAGCTGCAGGGGATCCAATCCTCTTCGGGCTCATGCAAGCACCTGTACTCATGTGTATACATCCAAACCCACAACACATATAACTTTAAAAAGTCTAATTTTCTGTGTAGAGCAGATTCCTTGGCCCTTCCCCATCTTCCTAAGCAACTGCCTATGACCTTCAAGACAAAGTTTGAAGGCCACCTGCCCTGCTTTCCAAAGGACTGTAATTCTCCTCCACTGCTGCAACCTAATTCTCCCGTTAGAACAGCAGCCATTACAGAGAACTTCCAGAGAGCTGGGACGCTGTTCTTCTGGTCCCTGTGCTCTGTAAGTCCTTCAACCAGCCTCTGTCTTACCCACTTCTGACCCAACTTCACAAGCCAGACCCACTTTCCTGCCTGATCTCCAGAGCTGCAAAGTATCTTCTCTGGAGCATTCTATTGTGACTTCTGTTTTATACATATGTCTTGCTTTCCCAGAACACCTAAGCTTTATGAAGGCAGGACATACTAAGTTCATCTCTTATCACCCACTGCATCTTTGGTCTGAAACAGATGCTTTTTGCATCACCTGGCTTTTCACTCTGGTTTAGGCTGCACCATTTGGTGCTAGCAATGCAGTTTGCTTTGCAAAGTGACGAATTCCAGACTGAAGGTGGCTTTGGTGCTGTTCCCTGTGTGACTTGTGAAATTTCTTCTCACACTTTTCAAACTGTTTATGTATGCTTTTGCGATTAAATCATCAGCATTAAAAAAAAATGATGTGACACTTTAAAAAACGTTAAACATAACCAAAGAGACACAGGATGATAAAGGTACAGAGCTGAAGAGAAAAAAAAAAAAACCATGAATCACACAGAAAGCACCTTCTAGGATACTAACAGGAACAATTTCAACTGATGGAATAACGTTCCATTCATCCCAGATTTATTGGCCTGACCACAGAGCAATTACTACAACCTTAAGAGAACAATTAAGGAAACATTTTGGCTCCCCATTCTAAGAACTGAATCATCCATTTTATTCCCCAAGGCCTCAAGGTCACAAGGCCTGGCTGTGGAGAAGTTTCTTATTTTTAAGTGCCTCCTATTAATCAAACTTCATGTAGGCTCACATGTACTAGCTGCACGCACTAGTCTAGGAACTGGGCATTGCAAGCCCATAATCCCCTTTCTGAAAGTTGTGGGGCCACTTGAGGGTTGGAGTTTATACTTTCACATTTTAGAAAAGTAGTAAGATAGAAACACACACACACCAAATGTTACACAACACCCAGCAGAATCTGCAGGTCATCGATAATTAAACCCACTGCCACACCTGCAGCAAAGTACATTAGCACTTGCAACACAGCAAGGAAATGAAAGTTCTGAATTGTTATTTCAGTCCAGGGGTTTGCCTGTGAACGATTGAGGCACTAATTTTTAATTTAGATTTTGGAGCTTTGTGTAAAGAATTTTAGAAACATTTGTTTGCGCGGATACCAGGGACAGGAATGTGGGGAGCTAAAAATCCATTGAAATACAGAGTAAAAGCTTTAAAATTAGCCCTTATTGACTGCCCACAGTTAGTGAACCAACAATTTGATCAGAAAGTTGCCTGTTAACACTATGGTAATAAGCAACATGGTAGGAATAATTTGAAAAGTATGACAACTTATTTTAGAAAGTACTTTTAATATTTGGTTAAGAAAGAGGATGTCGGGTGTGATCTCACACACCTTTAATCCCAGCACCTGGGAAGCAGAGGCAGGCAGATCTCTGAGTTTGAGTTCAGCCTGGTCTACAGTGAGAGTTCCAGGACAACCAGGGCTACACAGAAAAACAGTCTCCAAAAAAAAAAAAAAGAAAAAAGAAAAAAGAAAGGAAGGAAGGAAGGAAGGAAGGAAGGAAGAAAAAGAAAAAGGATGTTAGGAAACACATGCTACTTGCCTTAGAGTGAGGAAGGCATTACTTCACACAGTAGCTGCCTTAGAGTGAGGACAGTGTTGTGGTAGAAGATGCTGGGAAGAGAGGTGGGACTAGTTGACTAGACAGCAGAGGAAACGACACTGGGAACAGTACATTATGCTACTGGGGTTAAACTGATGTAGTCAGAGCAGAAAAGAGAAAACTATAAGAAACAAACAGGAGCCGGGCGGTGGTGGCGCACGCCTTTAATCCCAGCACTCGGGAGGCAGAGACAGGCGGATCTCCGTGAGTTCAAGGCCAGCCTGGTCTACAGAGCGAGATCCAGGAAAGACGCACAGCTACACAGAGAAACCCTGTCTCGAAGAAGAAAAAATAAAAAAGAAATATACACACTGAGGAACAAGTGTGAGGGGAAGAGAGGGACCAGAAGAGACCCATGAGAGCTGACCCTCAGAGGCGGGACACAAAGATGGCCACCCAAAGAGAAGCCACCAACAGCCAGTGTCAAGGTTTCCAGAAGGTGTCCAGAGACTGAAGCTGGGAAAAGGGTTCTTACTTTTGTGACTAGGGATTAGAAAGCAAGCTTCTGGGTTTTCAGAAATGAAACTGGATACACTTTATACCGCCACACCACATGGCAGTGAACTATGACACACTTATCTCTCTCCACTGCTGTCCATGTGTCTCCCCAATCCTGCGGAGACAAAACCACACAGGAAAAGCAGTGATTTCAGAGCAAAAGGAGGCTGCGATGACTTCAGAGTTGTCTAGGAGACAGGCTTCTGAGTATGTCTTGAGAGCTTTCTGAAGAGGTTTAACTTAGGGGCAGACCCACAGCAAATGGGCTGGGGGCTGGAGAAACGCAAAGGGTGAAGGTGAAAGTGAGCTGGGCATCAGCATTTATCTTGCTCTGCTTCCTGACTGGCTGCAGTGTGACCTCAGTCACCTCATCCCACCACCATTCCTTCCCTGACATGCAGGCCCCTCAAGCCCCGAGGCAACATCAACCCTCCTTCCTGCTCGCCCTGCTTTCACCAGGTATTTTGTACAGCAGTCAGAAGAGCAGTTAACTAACCAGAGGCCAACTGTGGATGAGAACAAAGGCCCGGCCAGGAGGCCCCCAGCTCTGCTCCAGCAAGGGCAGACTCTGATCGTCAGGTGAGCAGTACGGGCAGCCTGCAGTGACGGACCTAGGGCGTAGGCAAGTGGCAGTCAGTGGAGCCTGATGATGGGGATGAGAAGGGCATCAGCTGGCTCAGCTCATTAATCGCAGCTATTCACATCTGTGGGGTGAAGAAGAAGCCTTGCCAAGAGTACTGCAGTTAGGTACGCTGGCATGCATCTATCAGGAAGTGCATGCAAAGATGGAGTTCCCCGTAAGTGTGCGATGGTGTTCCACTGCCCACAATCACAAAAGAGAGGAAAGGAAACTGGCATGTTAGTGGAAAAGTGAGGCAAGAGTACACAACCCCAACACTGGAAGGAAGAAAACCCCCAAACCCCAGAACCTACTTAAATGCCCAACAGGAAGCTAATGATAATTCAAACACAGAGTGCTGTAGCTGTAGAGGAAATGACAAACTGATACAGAGTACTCTCAACAGGTTTTTGTGGGACGATATCCTGTCACTTAGACTATGAAGTCTGGGACTGCATACAGAAATCTACCCCCAGTACACAGAGGGGAAGAGAGGGGACCTCTGTGGGGTAGGGACAGCTGCGGGAACAAGAAGCCGAGAGTCCGACAGTAGTTTCTGGTTCACTTGCCATCCTGTCTCGCTCTAGGGAGGTGCTCAAAAGTAACCTGCTCCGTGAATGAGATGCTTTACCTTTCCTGGCCTACTGAGTATGCAGGCATGCGCACACCATGGGAGTGTGTGGAGGTCTGAGGACAACTTGCAAGCGTGGCTCTTTCCTTCCATGGCGTGGGGCCTAGGGACTGAACTCAGGTCGTCAGGCTTGGTGGTAGGTACCTTTACCCACTGAACCATCTTACTGCTCCACTTAGGTACAGGAACAGGACTTTGAAAGTGAGACCCTTCGGGCTATTGTGCTTCTGCATAAATGACAGCATCCAGACACATAGAATGGCTCACGTCCTTTATTTTCTGTGACAAGAATTGATGGCCAAAGAGGTAATTTAGTGACCTGACAGGCAGCATATCGCTGTCTCTTGAAACTATACATGGAGAAGTATGAGAGCTCATCCACCTGCAAGGACAAGCCCAGACCTGAGACTTGCTCCTCCAAACACGTGCAGTAAAAGTCAGTTACGTTAGAATAGCTACAATTACAGAAATTATGTTTTGAGCAGCAGGAGTCCTTAGAGTAGTGAAGTGCCATCGCACGTGTTTAAACTCTACAGTGCTGGCAAGCACGACCGTGGCTAGTCTCTCTTGGCAACACAGCCACAATGCAGCTTGCTGCTCTGCACTGGGACCTTCCGCAGATGGCACAGTCTAAAGCCCCTCACCCGCACTCCCAAATCCCAGAGCTCACAGAGCTGTGCGCTGAATAATAAGGAGAAATTTCCACTGGCATTTATAATTTCTGGAAATCATGCAAAATTAGCCATAACAGAGTTAAAAAGACTCACAGGACCTTCAGGTACTAAACTTGGACTTTTATTAACTAAAAGCATGAAAGGCTCACTCAGTAAAATTAATTTTGCACAACTATTCAGTGAGAATACTTAATATTAGAATTTTAAGTGTGGGGTGTTTTTAGTATTTTAAGTATATTAAAATAACCACTTGAAAACTGATATCTACAGCTGATGAGAATTGATCAGACTGCAGAATAAAGGGAAAGAGGAAGTGCTGAGTACTTTATAGCCTGAAATCTATAGCAGGTATTTTAATTGAACCCTCATTTAGCGCCAAGAAAGTATCATTGCTCCCCTTTTACAGATTAGGAAAAGTGAGGCCAAGGAGAAA